ACCGTCTCCCATCTGTCGGCCTCCCCACAGTGGACATGGAAGCCTGCACCCTCACGCCCAGCGGGAAGGTGTGGACTCTGAGGCCAGGCCACTGGTCTCTGGTTTGAGCCGCTTGCTTGCTCCTGTCTCACCCGTCGAGTGGGACAGGGACAGCCCCACAGGCTCCGTGTGAGGCTCCCGGGATGAGCATAAAGTGTCCACACAGCCAGCTGCTCAGCCCCCAACGCCCCGCAGGCCATGGGAGCACGTCCTGCCCTCCCAGCACGGTGACGGCGAGGTCTCCTCGTTCTCCACCCAGATCCCATGGAAGGTGAGGAGGTCCCGGAAGGAAAGGAACGTGGCCGCCCTCACGTGTCCCGAGGGGAGGACGGGGCACCTTCCACGGGGCAGGCTGCTCTGGCCCTGGGAGCACAACCATGAGTGAGACCCGCTCCTGTGCTGAGTCGCAGCAGCGACGACCCAGATGGATGACAGCTACGCATTCAGCAAAGGGCCTTCCGTGCCAGCCCTGTCCCAGGCCCTGGGCGGCCACAGGCCGGGCGGGGATGCGGCTGCTCCACCAGCTGATCTGGAGGCGTCACTGGGCGACAGTAACACAGACGGATAAACAGAAAAACACCCTGTCCATCAGCCCCTGCGTTCAGGCAGAGTGAACCCCGGCACAGGCCTCGGTCACAGAGAAGGGCAGGGCGGCAGCGCTCGGGCCTTGGGGAGCAGAGGGGAAATGGGTCTGTGGGGGCTCTTGGCTCGCAGAGAGAAGACCCACTTGGGTTACATGTCTCCTAAGCCCACAATTCCCAGCAAGAGCCTCGCCAACACCAGTTCCCAGGCAGGAAGGTCCCACCAGGTGTAGGTCCCAACCAGCTCCATGGCCCCCAGCACCAGCCCCCCCCAGAGGGAGGAATCCCACCTGATATCCCATTCGGCCCAGGTCCAACCCCAACCATAACCTTAACCATAATGCAGGTCTAACCCTAACCGTAACCCTACCCCTACCCCAAACCCTAACATTAATGCAGGTCAAACCCTAACCCTAACCCTAACCCTAACCCTAACCTTAACATTAATGCAGGTCAAACCCTAACCCTAACCCTAACCCTAACATTAATGCAGGTCAAACCGTAACCCTAACCCTAACCCTAACCCTAACCCTAACATTAATGCAGGTCAAACCGTAACCCTAAGCTGAACACCCCCAGCACCAGATCCAACCTAAAGAGAGAACTCCCACCTGATATCCCACTCAGCCCCACGTCCAACCCCAACCATAACCTTAACCATAGTGCAGGTCAATCCCTAATCCTAACCCTAAACCTAACTATAACCCTAACCATAATGCAGGTCAATCCCTAATCCTAACCCTAAACCTAAATAGCCTATTGCAGGTCAAGCCTTAACCCTAACTCTAACCCCTAACCCTATCCTTCAACCTAACCCTAACCATATCTCTAACCTTAAACCTATCTGACCCTATCCCTGACCCTGACCCCGGGGGAGGTTGCCATGACGTTAACCTTCTTGGCCGCTGGATGGGGACACCGGGCAGAGCAATGACATCCCGGCCCTAACCCTGACCCTATCCCTGACCCTGACCCCGGGGGAGGTTGCCATGACGTTAACCTTCTTGGCCGCTGGATGGGGACACCGGGCAGAGCAATGACATCCCGGCCCTAACCCTGACCCTATCCCTGACCCTGACCCCGGGGGAGGTTGCCATGACGTTAACCTTCTTGGCCGCTGGATGGGGACACCGGGCAGAGCAATGACATCCCGGCCCTAACCCTGACCCTATCCCTGACCCTGACCCCGGGGGAGGTTGCCATGACGTTAACCTTCTTGGCCGCTGGATGGGGACACCGGGCAGAGCAATGACATCCCGGCCCTAACCCTGACCCTATCCCTGACCCTGACCCCGGGGGAGGTTGCCATGACGTTAACCTTCTTGGCCACTGGATGGGGACACGCGGGCAGAGCAATGACATCCCGGCCCTAACCCTGACCCTATCCCTGACCCTGACCCTATCCCTGACCCTGACCCTGACCCTGGAGGGCTGTGCTCTTGGTTTTGCCTCCGTGGCTCAGGGTCCCGGGGGCCTGGGCGCAGGTGGTGGTGGTGACTGTGGTGGACAGAGCTCGCTGTGGGGCTGGACCTCCGGGGCCTGAGGAGGGAACGAGCAGCACGTGTGCGGGTGAGCACTTCGAACGCTGGCCGGATGTCATTGCTCTGCCCGGTGTCCCCATCCAGCGGCCGAGAAGGTTAACGTCATGGCAACCTCCCCCGGGGTCAGGGTCAGGGATAGGGGCAGGGTCAGGGATAGGGGCAGGGTCAGGGATAGGGGCAGGGTTAGGGCCGGGATGGCATTGCTCTGCCCGGAGTCCCCATCCAGCGGCCGAGAAGGTTAACGTCATGGCAACCTCCCCCGAATAGTCAGAGATGTATACAGCCCAATTAAAAGACACAAGAAGGAAATTCCACTTTAACCGTAACCTTAAAGGTAACCCTAACCCTAACAATAAACCAAACCCGAACCCTAATGCAGGTACAACCCAAACCCTAACCATAACCTAACTTATCCCTAATCCTGACCCTATCCCTAACCCTAACCCTGACCCTACCCTATTCCTAACCCTGACCCTAACCTTATCCCTAATACTAACCCTATCTGTATCCCTAACCCTGACCCTATCCCTGACCCTATCCCTATCCCTAACCCTGACCCTATCCCTGACCCTAACCTTATCCCTAATACTAAACCTATCTGTATCCCTAACCCTGACCCTATCCCTAACCCTATCCCTGACCCTATCCCTGACCCTGACCCTGACCCTGGAGGGCTGTGCTCTTGGTTTTGCCTCCGTGGCTCAGGGTCCCGGGGGCCTGGGCGCAGGTGGTGGTGGTGACTGTGGTGGACAGAGCTCGCTGTGGGGCTGGACCTCCGGGGCCTGAGGAGGGAACGAGCAGCACGTGTGCGGGTGAGCACTTCGAACGCTGGCCGGATGTCATTGCTCTGCCCGGTGTCCCCATCCAGCGGCCGAGAAGGTTAACGTCATGGCAACCTCCCCCGGGGTCAGGGTCAGGGATAGGGTCAGGGTTAGGGCCGGGATGTCATTGCTCTGCCCGGTGTCCCCATCCAGCGGCCAAGAAGGTTAACGTCATGGCAACCTCCCCCGGGGTCAGGGTCAGGGATAGGGTCAGGGTCAGGGATAGGGTCAGGGTCAGGGATAGGGTCAGGGTCAGGGATAGGGTCAGGGTCAGGGATAGGGTCAGGGTCAGGGATAGGGTCAGGGTCAGGGATAGGGTCAGGGTCAGGGATAGGGTCAGGGTCAGGGATAGGGTTAGGGTCAGGGATAGGGTCAGGGTCAGGGATAGGGTCAGGGTTAGGGCCGGGATGTCATTGCTCTGCCCGGTGTCCCCATCCAGCGGCCGAGAAGGTTAACGTCATGGCAACCTCCCCCGGGGTCAGGCGCTGCTCCCGGTTCCTCCCACGGGCGCGGCCACGGGCGCGGGCCGCCAGGGCAGGAGCGTTCAGGTACACGCTGAGGAACAGGCCCACAGTAAGGCAAACAATGTCACGCTCACTTCATCTTTGTTAAAAGCATCACAAGTGGTTTATTGGTTTTTAAAAAGGAAAAATAAGAAAGACCCGATGGCATCTCTGTCGTGTGCGCATACCCAGTGGGCACAGCCCGGCGGGGACGCCTCGCGGCTGCAGCAGGCCACGCCCTCCATGCCTGTGGGGGGCTGGGCACCGAATGTGACCCTCACACGTGTCGACCATACGGCTGTGGGTGGGAAAGTGCAGGGGAACCAGGCGCCACCTTATTTCCAGGTTCTGGGCCCAGATACTCTTCACAGAAAGAATGACATGAGCTCCAGGGAGAACGCCAATGGCCAGGGGCAAGCCTGCCCGAACAGCGGAGAGGGAATCGCGGGGTTCAGGGTCAGAGGGCGGTCACCCACCGGCACTGGTGAGCGGGGGCAGGGACTGTGTCCAGGGGACGCCATGCCGACCCTGACCTCGGGCCTGGACGGTGTCTGGCACTTACAGGCGGGTGGGGTGGGCGGCGGGCGCA